CTGAAAGAAAGAAGTTGGCAGCAGGAGCTTTCCTAGACTTAAATCTACGGTACTTCTTCAGATAGATTTGGTCATCTGTCATAATCAGCTTATTGATTAATTACTTAAAAATAAGGAAATTATTTGACTGGGCTACTTTGTTGCTGAAAAGTTTTGCTCAAAATATCCATTCTGGGCAACTCAACATATTGTCAAATAAACACTTTTACAATGCAAACCCACATATGTCATTATATTCAGTGTATCTTACCCCTAAGTAAGTATATATAACTTATGGTGCATCTACGCCAGTGTTTCGTAGTGGTTTGAGTCTTGGACTATGACTCTGGAGACTAGGGTTCGAATCCTGGCTCAGCCATGAGACCCACTGGGTGACCGTGGGCAAATCACACTCTCTCAGCCTTAGAGGATGGCAGGGCAAACCCCCTCTGAAGAAACTCACCAAGAAAATCCCCATTATAGGGTTGCCTTAAGTCAGAAACAACTTGAAGGCACACAATAACAAACGCTGTAGAAATAATGCAGTTTGACGCCACTTTCACTGCCATGGCTCCATCCTATAGAATCCTGGAATTTATAGTTTGGTGAAGCACCAGCACTCTTTTGACAGAGAAGGCCAAACTGGAGGATTCCATAGGATGGAGTTGTCGCACTTAACGTGGTATCAAAGTGCATTATTTCTACAGTGTAGATGCACACTTAGACTTGGGATTCTACCTTCATGTAAAGGCACTTGTGATTGAGAAACCTGAAAGCTTGTACAGGAGGGCGGATTTAAATATACAGTATAGGCTTTCCATAAAATATCCTTGATATCTATTAGATTGTCTGTCACCCTCCATTCTTGTTCTTTTCGGGACTGAAAAGTGACAGTTATTGTGATGCTTCCCTAGACCAAAAAAAAAAAAGGGGGGGAGCAAAAGATTTCCAAATTTCTGCCTCCAGGCTCCTTTAGAAAGAACGCTGTGGGAGGGAAAAGAGGACCACGCCAAGCAACTAAAAACTGCTTTCAGGTAAGCTTTTGAAACACTCTTCTTGAGGACAGTAAGCTTTATTCCACCTTCGGAGAGAGAAAACTGGCAGCCTGTTCCAAAGTCCATTAAAGCCAAGAAAGATGGATTCATTTATTTAGATTGCTAACCCCTCCACACCCCTCAAGCTCAGGAGAGAATAAAAATTTTAACATTTTCAGCCTGAAAAACCATCAAGCAAAATAGAATAAAGCTTTATTCCCACACCACATATTTGATGCTTAACCAAGGCCATCAAATGCCAGCTCAGAAGCACTTTGGATGCCTGAAATGTAATTTATGTACAACGAAAAAGTCATACCATGTACCCCAAAGCAGATCAGGGCTTTGGCAAGAAGAAGGGAAACGATACAAGACAGCTTCTTGATGGGTTCTCCTGTCTAAACTTGGTTCTAAAACAGATATATTTGGGAGCTCTATAAGATTGTAGGACTATCGATGTACAGGTTGAGTCTCTCTTATCCAAAATGCTTGGGACCAGAAGCATTTTGGATTTCAGAGTTTTTCTGATTTTGGAATATTTGCATATACATAATGGGATATCATGGAGAGGGGACCCAACTCTAAACACGAAATTCATTATGTTTCATATACCCACAGCCCGAGGGTAATTATATACACAAAATTTTAAAATAATTTCGAGCACGAAACAAAATTTGTATAAACGGAACCATCAGAAATTAAAGATGTCACTATCTCAGCCACCCATGTGGATAATTTTGGAATATTTCAGATTTTGGGATTCTGGATAAGGGAAACTCGACCTGAAATATCTAGTACTAGAGTGGCCCTTTCACATTTGATGGAGTTAGGGCTCAGGACCCCCGTGAAAGTGGGAAAAGCACAAATAAATAAACACTATTTTTTTTAACCTGAGAGAACAAATATCTAGGAATCTCTAAGTCCTATCGTGAAATTCTGCAGTCAACATTCACCGGAGGTTGACCACAGAATCGTGTAGGAGGATCTACAAATACCTAGAGAAAAGTTTTCCCTAGGAATCTCATTGCAACTCTATGATCAACTTTCGGCAGAGTTGCGTTGGAGGACCTAGAGATTTGTAGAGAGAACACATTACTAAAATCCGTGAATAATCAAATCCGCAAAAAGTCAAAGCCACAAATGTGGAGGGCTGACTGTAGACACCAAAGAGCCACACAATCCATTTAGGGCCAAGACCAGCCTGGGTTCAAGTCCTGCCCTCTGCCATTCATTGCCCAACTGGGTTTTGGGCAAGTCACAATCCCACACTTTCAATTACCTAGTAGGAAAACAGGAACAGCATATGTCCACCTCAAAGGACTGTTGTGACAGTGAACAACAAGAATCCATATACTTTGCAGCTCCACATCCTGCAACTTCAAATGGTCTACTCTAGAATGAACAATATGGCAGGTCATGAAAGACAGTGCAATGCCTAACCCACAAATAAGTCCCTCTGAATCCAGATTGGACTTATTATACTCAGGTGTACAGGACTCAACTTTGCACATTTTTACAGTGCCTACCCACATAATAAAAAGAGAGCTAGAAAGGCACTGTGAGCCAGCCTGGTGCAGTAGTCTGAGTGTTGGACTAGGACACTGGGAGAGCAGAGTTCAAATTCTTGCTTGATCAAGGAATCCCACTGGGAGAC